AGCTGGTTTTCCCAGTGCAACATGCCTTTTGGTTTTGACCCCTGAAACCAAGGGTGTTGACTGTAGATCTAAGTAAAATTAAATTGTGCTTACACAACTTCAATTCTTTTTTCTCTCTCTGTCATGATGTTGCCTGTTGGTCCAATGATGAGGATTTTGATTTTCTTGATGTTGAGATATAATCCACATTGAAGTCTAGCACTTTCTCAAAAAGTTGGAGCTAGAAATACAATTTGACCCAACAATTCCACCACTGGGAATATACCCTAAAGAAACCAGAGCCACAACTCAAACGTGTATGCACACCCATGTTTATTGTTGTGTTCTTTACAATAGCAAACACAATCAACACTCTTGACATCAGCAGCCAGGAAATTAAAAGACAAATTGCATTGGGAAAGTCTGCTGTCAGAGAGCTCTCCAAAGTACTGAAGAGCAATGATGTCAATCTGGAGACTAAGGTGCACCTGATACAGGCCATGGTCTTTGTAATCACTTGCTGTGCATCAGAGAGCTGGACAATGACTGGGGATGATAGAAGAAAAATGCCTTTGAGCTGTGGTGTTGGAGAAGAGTGTTGAATGTACCATGGACTGCTTAGAGAACAAGCAGGTTCATCCTGGTGAGGGTAAAACCAGGCTGCTCCTTGGAGGCAAGGATTCTGAAGCTTCATCTGACATACTTTGGACATGTTGCAAGGAGGGACCAGTCCTTGGAGAGGGACATCATGCTGGGGAGGGTGAAGGGACAGTGCAAGAGAGGAAGACCCTCTATGAGATGAATTGGATCAGTGACTGGGGTAATGGGGTTTGGTGTGTCAGAGACAACAAGGTTGGCACAGGATAGAGTATGGTTTAGGGCTGTTGTACGTAGGGTCACTATGAGTCACTGAACATCCCATGGATGGCCAAAAGAACAAGTATGTTTTGAAAAGGGTACAGCCAGAGTGCTCTTTGGAGGCAAAAATGAGGAGGCTTCGCCTCACATACTTGGGGCATGTTGCTATGAGGGGCTAGTCTTTGGTGAGGGACATGATGCTGGGAAGGGTGGAGGGTTGGTGAAGGAAGACCCATGACCAGGTGGACTGACACAGTGACTGCCGCTATGGGCTCTTGTGTGTCAGGAAGTGTAAAGATGGCACAGGATATAACAGGGTTCAGATCTTTTGTTTATTGGGTCACTGTGAGTTGTACTCAACTCAGTGGCACCTAACAACAACAACAACAACTAATTCTTAAATTATGAGCCAGATGATACCATTTTGCCATAATGCATTTGAACAATGACATCTCTTCTTGTGCCTGTGTGGTGAAAATGTATATACAAAGCATACAGATATTGAGTAATTTCTGCATGTATCATTCAGGAGCACTGATTACATTCTTCATGCTGCATGCCATTTTCACACTCTTCCTGGGTTATTCCTAGATTGTAGAGGCATTGATGTAAGCTTAGTGCTCCCTGAGCAAAGACTTCTCCTTCCCCTGCCCTCTCTCCCATGGTGACCAATCATTTCTGGTTTCCATTTATTCACTTAGTTCATACAAGCGAGATCATATGGTTTTTGTCCTTTTGTCTGGATTATCTCATTCGCTGTGATATTTCTAAGGTTCATCCATCCTTTGGCACACATCACACCTTTTGTTGTTATGATTTGAGTGAAAATTTGTGAAGTAAATTGGTTTTTCTTTCAACCAAGCACATGTTTTGTCTTATAACATTGATTACAGTATCCACACTCTACTCACACTCTGCCCACTTCCTCACAGTGGTTCTCCTTTCCATTAAGCCTTCCAGTCCACCCCTTCTTTTCTTCTGGGCTTTACTGCTGGACTATTGCTGCTGATTTGACCTTACACGGCTCGTTATTCTAAAGAGTGGCTGCTTTCTTAGTGACGTTGTTCCTTTTCTTGTTCCTGGGTATTGTTTGGCTGAAAGTTGAGTCATAGGAGTGAGATTTTGTTTTTTTGAGTTGTTTGGTTCTTTTTTTCCGGTTCAACAGAAATGAGGATTTTTTTAAATTATTTTCTAATTTCGAGAAGAATTTTTTCAATTTCTCTCCCTGCCCCCCCATTAAATTGTACAACCCCGTGATTAACCTCCCCCTCCCCCTGCACATCCTCATCCCTCTGCTTCCCCCTCTTGGATCCTTAAACTCATTCTAAAATAATGGTTTTATACAATATTTGTCCTTGTGGGACTGAGTTAGTTCACTCAGCATAATGCTCTCCAGTCCCTCCCAAGTTAGGTAATAATTTACAGTTATTGCTCCTGTGTGCTGCATAGTATTCCATTGTGTGAATGTGCCATAATTTCTCAATGTATTTGTTTGTGGTTGGACATTTGGGCTGTTTCCATGTTCTTGCGATGGTGAATAATGCTGCTATGAACACTGGTGTACAAATCTCCAGTGGTGCCTCAGTTCTCATTTTCTCAGGGTATATTCCAAGCAGGGTCATATGGAATTTCTATTTTCAGCTTTTTGAGGAAGCGCCAAATTGCCTTCCAGAATGGTTGTACCATTTTACAATCCCACCAACAATGTGGAGTGAGTTTTATTCCAGGTTTAAAGTGTCACTAAAAGGGAACTTTGGTGGCCTAGTGGCAAGAAGCTGCACTGCAATCCCTAAGATGCACGATTTGAATCGACGAAATGCTCTGTTGGAGAAGGAGGGGCAGTCTCCTCCTGGACCAGTGAGATAGGATTTGAGGGGACACAAAATGAAAAGAGAAGCGGGGGAAGTGCCACTAAGGGGTATAGGGCACCCTGGTGGCCTCGTGGTAAGAAGTTGTGCTGCAGTCCCGAAGGCACGTGTTTCGAATCCACCAGCTACTCCGTAGGAGGATGGGCAATCTCCTTCTGATCTATTAACTGCCTCCAAAAACTTGCCAGAGGCTCAGCAACGAGTGGGTTCCGACTCGATGGTACACCCCCACCACAACAACAAGGGGTGTAATTTCAGGGGCTTACCAGTTTCTGGTAAGCTGGTGAGCTTGGATTTCTTTTTTTCCTGTTTTGTTCCATATCCCCCCACCCCCAACTCTGGGATCTATCCAGGGTTTCTGCTGTGGTCCTTTTTGACTGGTCCTCAGTGGTAGCTGGGCACCATCTAATTCTTCTGGTCTCCATGTCAAGGTCGTGGACGTTAAGTGCTGTTTCTATACATTGTTGCTTTTCTTCTCTCCTTCCAGAGAGAGACAATAATCATTGCATCCTAGCTGGCTTCTAAAAGGGCTTTAAAGTTTTGTTTCCTACAATGTGTTGTTTTCTTTGAAACCATCCCACTGGCGGACCCCAGGGTCAATAGGTCGGTGAGGACCCTTCAGCAAGCAGAGGCCTGCAGGTTGGTGGCTCACGGACGTGGCTGCGCTCATCTTCTCTCGGCCGTCATTGGCCTGGTTCACCTTCACCTTCCTGTTAAACTCGTGGTCCTGACTATTACTATACAGCTTCTGCTCCCTGGCCTTCTTTGCCTATCCAGGGTGGCTGGAAGGCTTGCAGGTGGGTTTTCTTCCTTCATTTTCCCTTGGACTCTCTTCGCTGTTGGTCTTGGCACCTTTGCTCTACGTACATGCTTGCACTTACAGGGAGCCCTGCCAAGAGGCCCCCGTGGAAGCCTCGGGACATGGCTGCCCGGCTGCAGAAGCAGATGGCTGTGCCTCCATGTTTGTCTTTACTCCATGGAAGGCTTTTCCAGTTGTCTGCTAATAGATTTTTAAGAGTCCAGTCACTGCTCACCAAAGTAGGATGTAGAATATTGTCTTTTCTTTTTTAACTTAATTTTATTTTATTATTTTGTGTGTGTACCATTAAATCAGACCTGACTGGTACAGGAGGTGATTGCCCTTCCTTCTCCAGAAGAGAATCTGGTGGATTTGAACCACGTACCTCTGAGATTACAGTATAGCTTCTTGCCACTAGGCCACCAGAGCTCCCTTTAGAATATTGTCTTTTCTGATTATTATGCTAGTGGACCTTGATGTTCGTGGCTTCATCCCCTTTTTTTAAAATTTTATTTTATTATTTTTGTGTGAGTGTACCGTCAAATCAGATCTGATTGGTACAGGAGGAGATTGTCCCTCCTTCCCCGGCAGGGCATCTGGTGGATTCGAACCGTGGCCTTTGGGATTGTAGTTGCAGCTTCTTGCCACTAGGCCACCAGAGCTCCCCCGCTTCATCCCTTTGATGGCTGGATAATATTCCATTGTGTGGCTATACCACACTTTGTTTAACCACTCCTCTGTTGATAGATATTTCCGTTGCCCCTACTTTTTGGCTAGTGTGAGAAGTGCTGCACTGAATGTTGGTGCAGAGGATGCTGTTTCTGTCTTCGCTTCTTCTGAGTATGTACCTAGGAGTGACACTTCTTTGGTCAGCTCTGGGAGGAACCACTAAACTGTTTCCTCTAGTAGCTATTTCTGGGGCTACCAGGAACCAGTCAGCTCCCTAGAGTGAATCGATTATCACAAACGATACAGCAGAGCCCATTTTTGTATGTATATTTCAGCATCCAGTTGTGAGGGTCTATAGAGAAAATCCTCAGCTTTGCAATTTCTGGATACAAGAGTTTGTGCATTTACGTTTTTAATGTATAGGATACTTGTCCTCTCATGCACACTTTTACCTGCAGTCGTGGGCCAGTAATGGGGCTGACTTTCTATAGGAAACTTTAAAAAATGAGTTATGGACTTTATAGACTCAAAGAGGAACCCTTGTGTTTTGCAGTCCTCTGTGCACCAACCACCTTTTCAGAAGGCAGGGACATATCCAGGTGCTATTTGCCAATGGACACGTTCAACTACCTAGACACTCCTTAAGAACGTCAGGGTTGCTTTCTGTCTGCTTAGCAGAGGTTTTTCTCTTTGGAAGCCTGGACATCATCCTAGAGACTTACCTCCTATTTACACACACACACACACACGTATACACACCCCGACTCGCCTACTTACTGCTTCTAATGTGTGGTTTGTACTTTCTCTCTCTCCCCCTCTTCGACCAGACCCCAGAAACAGCAACGGCAGCTAAGCTCAGAATGCAGAGTCCTTTGGCATCAGTTGATATGGGCGGTGGGTCCTTTGTGAAGCGGCCAAGCTTCGATGCTGCTGCTAGTGCTGGCCTGCCCGTATCGGGACCCAGTGGCGCAGTCTATGAGAAGACGCCCGGCCGGGACCGTAGCAGGGTTCCCTCCACAGCCACACTTCCTGTGCAAGCAGCAAAATCGAGAATCCGGGATGAAGCTGCCACTCTGAGACCCTATGCAGCCTCCCGTGTAGAGCGTGTCAGGAGTCGAGAGCGTGGTGTTGTCTACACAGGAAGGAGTGAACGAGACGCACCTGCTAGCCTAGCCCAGCAGCATACAGCCTTAGCCAGAGACCAGCTTGGTTTGGGGGCCCCAGGTCAACAAGGCATGGTGTACGTTAGCCCAGATCAAGCCTATCAGGGACAAATTCAGTACGACGTAAGGCCACCTGGCATGGATCAAGCTCGTTTGGTATATCCTGGTGCTTACCCACAGGGTGTGATACCACCCGGCCCGAGTCAGCAAGGTGTGGGCCCGCTTGGAACAGCTCAGCAGGGTCTCATATCACCTCGTGTGGCTCAGCCTGATGTGGTGTCCCTCGTGGGACCTGACAGAGGTCAGCAAGGACTGGAACGAGCTAGTACAGATCAACGTGGAGTTGAACCATTTGGCATGAACCAGTATGGATTTGTTACACCCTTTGTAGATCAGAGTGGCGTGGTACCACTTGGTCTGATGCAAGCTGGTATAGTTCAGCAACCTTTGGTCCAGCCACTTTTGGAAGCACCTGGTTTGGTCCAACCTGGCGCAGAACAGCAACCTAGAGCAGTACCATATGCCTTGGTGCAACCTGGGGCAATAGAAGGTGGCATGGTTCAACCTGGTTTTGTGCCACCTGGAGTAGACCAGCATGGGTTGGTTCAGCCTGGTGTGGTACAGCCTGGTGCAGACCAGCATGGGTTGGTTCAGCCTGGTGTGGTGCCGCCTGGAATAGACCAGCATGGGTTGGTTCAGCCTGGTGTGGTGCAGCCTGGAATAGACCAGCGTGGGTTGGTTCAACCTGGTTTTGTGCCACCTGGTGCCGACCAGCGTGGGTTGGTTCCGCCTGGTGTGGTGCCACCTGGTGCAGACCAGCATGGGTTGACTCAGCCTGGTGTGGTGCCACCTGGTGCAGACCAGCGTGGGTTGATTCAGCCTGGTGTGGGGCAGCCTGGTGTGGTGCCGCCTGGAATAGACCAGCATGGGTTGGTTCCGCCTGGTGTGGTGCCGCCTGGTGCAGACCAGCGTGGGTTGGTTCAGCCTGGTGTGGGGCAGCCTGGTGTGGT